TTAAAATCTAGGAAATAAAGAAAGCCACTCTAGTTTTCCTGGTTTAGAATGACAAGCTATTATGTCTGAGAAAAAGACAATCTTCTAGAGCATTTTCCTGGAGGCATTACTTTCTGTCTGGGATGGACACAGCCACAGCCTAGATTTCCCTGTTTAATCGGCAGCCCTTCTACTATTGTCAGAAATGGAAACATTTCTTGCCCTGTTATTGCTCCTTGGGTTTCCTGCTCTTCCTTAGATTATTCCTTTCAGGAATTCAAACCTGCAAGAAGTCAAGAGAAAAAATCGTTTTCTTTTGTCTTGATCTACTACTTGGAGGGCCACCTTCCCATACCAGAATGTAGCCACGTTTATCCCAATCTAAGAAAAATCCTATCCTGCCATCTATTGAGGAGTTTTTCTTTATCTTTCATTCCAAAAAAAACAGTGGAGAGTGGTCAAATGGATATACTCCTTGGATGAAAATTATAAGGAGTGAGATATAGACTGATTTTTATGTTTGTTTTCTTTTTCTAAGTTGGCATTAGAGACACCAAAATTATATGTAAACAGAGGGAAAGGCAAGGATCTATTAGAGGAGATTGCAAACAAACAATTTTAAAAGGCCATGTAAACCCTTGTTAAGCATTTGGACTATGATTAATGGTATTGTTTTCTTTTTGGAAAACACTGTTTAACTCTCTTTTCCACTTAATGTCAACTGCTGGATTGGATTTTTGTTCTCTGTTGTTGTTTGGAAATGTTTATAGCTTTGAAATCTTCTCCATAGGGAATTCTGCTAAAACTAGAGGGAGGGAACCACTGGGATTGAGTAATTCCCCTATTTATTACTAGATTATTATTAGTAGTAGTAGTATTATTTAGCACCCTAAATGTACCTATAACTTCTTAAGTGGTAGGGGATATTTGACACACATTGTTGATGCACAGATGAAAAGTGGTCTACCACTCACTCCCCCATTCCCTGTCCCCAAAACTCATAAATGAAAAATACCCTATGCAAAGCGTTTGCCACATAAAGTCATTTAGCATTCAGGAAATTAGCATAAATGCCTTGTATTTAAGGTGATCTCTATTTGTTGACTTATATAGTCTCCTATATAAGTCATCTAATATATCAGATGGGATTCATCTAATCCATTTCTAGATGACTCATGTCCTAGGAGGCTGCTCAGGGCTGAAAGGCCTTATATCTATCTTCCAGCTATAAATCCAGTACAGTGCCTAGTACATAGTAGTCACTCAATAAATGCTGGTTGAACTGATTGAAACTGTATCCTAACCATCCCGCTGAGTCACAGAGGTCTTTGAAGGAGTCATGGTTCCACATTAGCTCTCCTTCTAAGAAACTATGTGTGAGTTGTGTAGGTGAAGGAGGTTGGCGACATATGTCCAAGAGTTGGTGATAATTCTCCCCACACATCTGAAATGTTCCGTTCCTTCCATTTTGGCCACCCTTTGGTTCCAGTGACCCCTTTCTTATCCTTGGTTGAGTTGCCATGTTCTCCTGAATTGAATCTAGACTCAGGATTCAGAATGAGGATCCAAACTGCCCAGCCACCAGAGAAATGGTTCCCAGGAGATATTTCCTTTAATGAGTCCTCCTGCTGTGGGATACTCTTGCTGATCAACGGTTCCAAACAGCACAGAAGAGGGACAGTTTATGGGGAACTTTAATTTCTAGGTACACCAACACAGTCTAAAGATACTAGGTAATGCAACTGTTGTTGCCATTGTTTTTCCATCTTGAATAAGAAGGTTTGGGCTAGGAATAGGAGTGAAAAGGGAGAACAAGTTAAGTCCTGGCTAATGGATCACATCCCATCATCTTCTTTTATGACCCTCATTGCTGTGTCTTCATCCCAAGCCTCTTCTGTGATTTCACAATGCGACCTGGGCATATATTCTAGAAAATGTTCACTTTGGGATGTTTTTCTAGTGGCAAGTGAAGTCCGATATTTATTTATATATGAAGACAATAGGCCTTTCTCCTCTCAGCAAAGAGGTCAAGGAAAGCAGAGTTGTAGAATCCAGAAACTTTGAAAGGCAGTTGGTACAATTGCTTAAAAAGTAAAGATGAGTTTTAGCAGTTTTGAAAATCTGGAAGTCTTTGAAGGAGAAAGACTCACTGGTGTTTCCTTTTCGCAAACACACACGCACTCATTCTTCAGACCTTACCTTCAATATCATTCTTCTGAGAGAAGTTCCTCACTCCCTGGGCTGGGTTAGCTACCTCCACAGCTGGTACTTCCCTGTGATAACATACTAATAGAATGTAATTTTATACTATACAATAAAAGCGTAATATGCACATTGACTGAACTGCAGACCGACCAGTCGGTGGGGGGGCGGGGCCAACAACCAGGCGGCACCAGGCCAGCCAAGGTGCATGCCAGTGGGCAAAGGGAGGTAATGGCAATTGGGGGGAGGGGTAGTGACAAGCGGTGGTGGAGGGGCAATGGGGGGGCCGGCACCATCCCCTGATCAGCCTGTCTGGGCACCTCCCGCAGAGGGAGGCCAGACTGTGGCTTCGGGGAGCGGGCCTAAGCCATCAGTAGGGCATCTCCTGAGGACTCCCGGACTGTGAGAGGGCACAGGCTGGGCTGAGGGACCCCCGCCCCCCAGTGCACGAATTTTTATGCACCAGGCCTCTAGTATTTGTATAAAAAGGAGTTTATAAATAGGAAATTACATACACCTATACATAGTTTTTTACTTATTTATTATGCAGCCTAAGTTAGAAACTTAAAGAAAGCAATCTTTTCTTCTTAGTATATGCTTCTCTTAGTATATGCTTAAAATATTAAATGGGAGAATAAATACTGAGGCTAAAGATTGGAGAAATCAAAAAGGTGAGGGAATGAGAGGAAGTGGTCATATGGGAATGTAATAGACAAATAAGGGAGGAGTTCCCAGATTCCTAGAGTTATGGGCCTCTTTCAGAGGGTTGGGTAGTTTAAGTTTGTGCAGACAGAGCTGATACTAGGGACCTTACTATGTCTCCACAGACGTCTTCCTTCTGGCTTTATGTAACTTCTATTTGTTCTGGCCTTGTCCCCCAGAATGAGCTGATTCATATGTTATTTTAAGGCCTGTTAGGTTGATAGCCAACTGGTAACAGAAATCGGTGTTTTGTTTTGTTTTTCATAAGAGATGTAGTATCTTGGATGATATCAAAAAGACAAATTCTAGTAACAAAGTTCTAGGTAGATTAATGAAAGTGTATGAGTAAAAATGTCCCAAGAATTAAACATAATGTTCTCCAGGTTTGGGGTGCAAATGACTAGAAAGTGTCTTGTGATGTTTGTCAGGAATGTCTTCATAGCACATACTGAAATGAGTGAAAAACACTCAGTAAATTATATTTTTTTTAAGATGAGATACCGCTGGTGGAAGCACACTGCTTTTAATAGGTTATTTTCCCTTCCAGAACCATGACTCCCAGCAAAACTTATATAACATTAATTCCATCTGAGATGAGATTTTTTTTTAAAGTTTGTAAAAACTTAAGAAGGAACAGCTATTACAAATATTTACTAAGTAAATTTGTTGAGTTGTAAGAAAACATGGAAACTGAAGAAACCCAGAATTTTTTAAAAAGAATCATTAAGTCAACACACCCATCCCATTGTCTAAGCAGGTTTAGTCTCCAAAGTGTGCTCAGTGAAAAGCAATTATATTTCAAATAGTTTAATGTAGAAGAAAACTGATTTTGACAACATTGAAATACAATGTCAAGGATAGTGTTTAATGAGCCTTAGAAAGTATGCTAGCATAGCTTTCAAAAATTCAATTTCCTTATGATGAATCACTTTATTGCACACTCTTGGCCATTTAAATCTCAAAAATCAGAGAGTTTTGTGTATATTATTGTTTATAAAGACAGAGATATCTCAACTTTCCTCTTAGTGAGTGAATTTATAAAGCACTGTCTTTATAGACAGTCTAAAGTACTCCAGAAAATGTTTTCTATATAGTTAGGATTTTATAAACTGTCCAAGTAAACTTAAAATTAATGTCAGGCCCAGCCAGTGTAGCTCAGTGGTTGAATCTATGAACCAGGAGGTCATGGTTCGATTCCCTGTCAGGGCACGTGCCCACTCGATCCCCAGTGTGTGGTGTGCAGGAGGCAGTTGATGAATGATTCTCTCTCATCATTGATGTTTCAATCTCTCTCTCCCTCTCCCTTCCTCTCTGAAATCAATAAAAATATATTTTTAAAAAATAATGTCAGAAGTTTATAATTCTCAGCCTTCTAATCTCCTTTTATTTCTCCCCTATTTTTATATGCAAAGCAGATGGCATACTCTCATTATTTGTAATTGATTATAAATTTGAAGAATATATGAAAAGAACAGACCAAATATTGGGTTAGCTATCATAATATTTTCTGCTTTTTCTTGCATGAATAGCTACACTGTTAAGGCGCATGTTTGCCTGCCTGCCTATTCTTCTTCATTTTATTATACACATTTTAAAGGCATTATTTTGAATTCAAAATGCAAATTAGCATGATGCATTTTTTTTCTGGTGAATTAATAGCATCACAACATACAGCTCCATATTTTTCCCCTAGAAAAAACTGTGTGAATCTGAAGGTTATCTGTGTTACATGACAGGTTATAGGTAGTGGCTAAGCTAAAGTTAACAGTTCCAATTCTAGTTTATATACTTTAACCATTCATATGGCAAGCTTCTACTAGTATATTGAGTTGATTTCCCAGATCTTCTCTGATGCTTTCCTTCCTAAAGGAAGCCACAGGGGCTCATGCAAATAACATGTCCATGAAATTCAGAAACCTGCTGTCATCATCTCCATAGATGCCTGGAACTTTAGCATTGAACAGTAATGGACACAGAGTAATTGGTAAAATATTGGGTGGTAGAACAAACTGTAATCCCAGTGCCTTGTAGAGCAAAGAAAATTTTCCTTTAAATCGTGGGTTGCATACATACAATCTGATGCTTGACCCCTGCTCCAGGCAGCTCAGATAACGTCCATGACGTCTTCTGGTAAACTGAAATGACATGTTGTTAGGCAGCTCTACAGAGGTGGTTTCTCAACCTATTCCATGAAAGGACAGCGGTGTAGGAGGAGAGCATTTTTGGGGAAAAGGTAACTCCTTGGCCAGCAGGAGATTTCTCACTGACTGACCTTAATTAACTCTGATGTCACATGAAAAGGAGCTGTGCATGGGACAGGTCATTGGGAGGGTAGACCCCTGATGGTAGCTTGGTGACAGTTCCGGTGATAAATGAACGTGTCCTGTTGACCCTCTGAGAAGCCAGTGTCAAGTGAAAACCTGAGAGGTATACTGAAGAGTGCCCCCTCTTAAACAGTGATAGTAGGAATGTCAATGTTATTAAAGTACTTTTCTCATGGTAAACATCTCAAACTACCCAGAATTTTTTTCTTTTAAATAATTTTTATAAAGCTTAAGGAAAAATGAGTAAAGTCAATAGCCCATGCCTGGATGGAATGAATACTGTCCAACTTCTGACTATTTTAGATGTTGCTCACTGCAGTGGCTCATTGTGGATTGTCCTTTGTGCCATGTGCTGCACAAGCTATGTGTGGGACAACCGACAATTAAAACATGAGCTGTAAAGCAGCTTTAAAACAAACCGCAGCAGAATTATTTAAATGGACGTATCTATAGGGTGGTGGCACTGCTAGCTCCTGAAATTAAACACTGAAAATAAGTTTTTTCACTTTTTTTTACACTTGAATTTAAGACATAAAGCTATATAAATGATTACTTTAAATTTTATGTTAAAACATGGGGACCAGACACTTTCAAATCCAGTAATTTTGGGATCACTTACAATAGCAAACACTCCAAAGCAAAAAGCCAGTGAGTTCTTTTTGTGGGTCCATGTGGTAAAATAGTGCGTTTAACATAACGTAAAGATGTCCGGGAAAATAGCAAATCCCTGGGATTAGCAACTTTCTACAAATTAAATGTACAGGTTGGGGGAAAACTAGGTTTGTAGTTGTGAGTACACGAAACACAGCGCTTATTCTTGTATTATTATTTAGTAATTATTATATTATTTTCCATATGAACAACTGTCACCCACTTTTGCCTCACCCTGGGTTGTTGCTGGACAGCAGCCGCCTAAGCATGGTCCCTGGTTGACTCTTAGGTCAATGACACAGCCACCCTAGCACAGTATGTTATATTTGTTCATCTCAAAGTGCTATTGTCCAATACAATCCATTTCTAAAGCCCGCGCTAGAAGCTTTTTCTATGCCTGAAAAAATGAAGAATGTGACTAAGACACACACACGAAAAACCTCTTTCATTTCTATACCCACCTCCCCACCACACCCGAAGCAAACGACGTTTTCACTAAGAGAAAAGTGTGCATACTGGTAGGTAGGTACCTAGGTGTGCATGTATCTACGTAAACATTCTTTCATTTGTTTAGGTGCTTCCTTGATTTAAGGCCAGTTGTTTAGGGAGAAAAATAACATTTTTTAAACTGATGTCCTGGTTAATTGTGGCACTCAAGTTATGATGCTGCCGTGCAGATTCCCTTGGTTTTCCCATCTTTGATTTAGTCTCTTGGTAGATGGAACATGAACCCTGGACTCTTGCTCCGTCATCCCAGAAGTGAAAGAAAAATGCACATGCTGAAGGCCTTCTTGCTAATTAGTGTATTAAGTTATAATGTGCAATTCAAATTACCTGATAAATACTCTCATGTGGTGTGACACAGAGGTCAAGACCAAGATGTAACTTTTTATGAAGTGCTAGATCCTTGCAGGAATTAGCATCTCAAACAAAATTTTGGTAGTCTCTGGAAATTTGGTTTATCTGCAATTGCATTCTTAACCTCCCCGCCCCCGACTTGTCAGCAACCAAATATATTTTATGAGATTTAGTGTGAGACTTAAGCTTTTAATAAGCTACATCTTGAGGAAAGAATATCTTTTATTATGAATTATGCTTAATTAACCTCACACAACCTTGGTAGAGACTCATAATCTTAAAATCAAATTTTAGAAACATGATACTTGGGGATTTATATTTAGCTGAAGAGGTCATTTATCACATAGGATTATGCACTATTGGAAACAAGGTATGTGAAATCAAAGACAGATGTATCTCACTTGAAATAAAACTAATGTACAGAGCTTCATATTAAAAACAAATAAATTAGAAATCAATAATTTTAATATAAAAGGGAACAGAGCTCTCACAATATAATTTTCAATGGGACTCTGTTAAAATTCCAATTTAAATAAAATTTGTTATATAAAAATTCAGTTAAAATTAAAAATATACAATTTGAAGTGATTTAAAATTAACATTAAACTAAATTCATAAGAAGATTGTGATTTGGGGGAACAGTGATTTTTTTTGCAGTATGTTTATAAAGCTTTTAATACATAGATAGTGATGTTATTGATCATGAAGGAAAAATTATTTCTCTGAAATCAGCCTTCTAAAGCTTTGAGCCAGAAAAATAACTAACATAAAATCTAATACCAATGGGTTCATATGTGCCAACAAAGTTCAAAATAGCTTGATATTCTAGGCCTTCAACTTAACTCTGTGATTACTTTAGTCGAGTTTTATTTTTTTAATAACAGCTTTATTGAGATAAAATTCACCTACTATAAAACTCACTGTTTTATTTTTTATTTATTTTTTTAAAAATTTATTGATTTTTTACAGAGAGGAAGGGAGAGGGATAGAGAGTTAGAAACATCGATGAGAGAGAAACATCAATCAGCTGCCTCCTGCACACTCCCCACTGGGGATGTGCCCGCAACGAAGGTACATGCCCTTGACTGGAATCGAACCTGGGACCCCTGAGTCCACAGGCCGATGCTCTATCCACTGAGCCAAACCGGTTACGGCAAAACTCACTGTTTTAAATTGTATAATTTGGTAGTTTTTAATATATTCACAGACTTATGCAACCTTCACTACTATCTGATTTTAGAACATTTTCATCACCCTACAAAGAAACCCCATGCCCACTATTAGTCACTCTCCACTCCCCTCTTTCCAGACCACCAATCTGCTCTCTGTCTCTGTGGATTTGCCTGCTCTGGACATTTCATATAAAAGAAATTATATAATCGGTAGCCTTTTGTGACTGTGTTCTTCCACTTAGCATAATGTTTTTGTCTTTGTTTTTCAAACAAGAAAGATTTATTTTCTCACCGTACCAGAAACTGGATTCAAAGGTGTCAGAAAGTTTGATTTCTTCTGAGGCCTCTCTCTTCGGCTTGTGGATGGCTGGATGGCTGCCTTCTCACTGTGTCCTCATGTGGGCTTTTCTCCAGGTGCCCTAGAATAAAGTTTTCAGGATCATCCCTGTTGTAACATGTATCAATACTTCATTCCCTTTTACTACCAAATAATATTCCACTGTATGGCTATATTACATTTAGGTTTCCACTTTTTGGCTATTATGAGTAATGCTGCTATGGGTACGTTTTTATGGACACTAGAGGCCCGGTGCATGGGATTTGTGTAATGGTGGGGGCGTGGCCAGCGGGGATCGACCTGCAATGGGAGCACTGCTCATCCCGGTCAGCTGTGGAAGTACACTGACCGCCAGGGGGCAGCTCCTGCATTGAGCATCTGCCCCCTGGTGGTCAGTGTGCATCATAGCGACTGGTCAACTAGTCATTCTGGTCATTCCACTGTTCAGTCACTGGGCTTTTATTATATAGGATATGTTTTTAGTTCTCTTGGTTAGATACCTAGGAGTGGAGTTCCTGGGTTGTATGTTTAAATTATGTTTAACCATTTGAGGAACTGCCATACCGTTTTCCAAAGTGATTGCACTACTTACAAGCTTACCAGCAATACATGAGGGCTCCAATTTCTCCATATCCTCACCAACACTGTTATTGTCTGTGTGTTTTATTTAAGCTGTCCTAGTGGGTGTGAAGTGGTATCTCACTGTGGTTTTGATTTGCATTTTCCTGATGACTGTTGACATCTAGTATCTTTGCATGTGCTTATTGGCCATTTATATATCTTCATTGGGAAAATGTCTATTCAGATCCTTTGCCCATTTGAAATTGGGTTATCTGTCTTATTATTAGTCATCAGTATCTTTAGAATGCAATTTCAAACTGTACATTTGGTATCAATTACTGTGATTTCAGAATCACAGAATTTTAACCTGGAAGGGATTGTAAAAATCTAAATCCAGCCCCCTCTGTTGGCAGATGAAAAATGTGACCTGTCCATGGTCACAGCAGAGCTAGTTAGTAGCAGAGTTGAGGAGACTGACTAAGTAAAAAATAGAAGCATAGACATTTCATGATTTGCATTTGAATAAGTCCCTTTTCAACAGAGTAGAGGCATCTGGAAGGAAGTGGAGCTAAGGTACTTGTTTAGAGGTAGCATTCAACTAGTAAAAGCACTTTCCACTTAGATCAATAAGATGGCAGTTGTGTGTTTTTTTCTTCAGTATATTTTTATTTATTTCAGAGAGGAAAAAAGAGGGAGAGAGAGATAGAAACATCAATCATGAGAATCATTGATTGGCTGCCTCCTGCACACCCCACACTGGGGATCAAGCCCACAACCCCAGCATGTGCCCTGACCAGGAATTGAACCATGACCTTCTAGTTCATAGGTTGACGCTCAACCACTGAGCCATGCTGTCTGGGCAAATGGCAGTTTTCTTCATGTACTTTCAGTCAGACGTTACATATGAGTCTTCTCTCAGCCTTAAAATGATGAGCTGTGTGTGGTTCCTCATGACCTATAGTGGGAGTTCACTCTTTTAGGACCCAGCATGGTAGCTTTGAAAAAAGAGCCTCAATCATTTGGACTTTGGATTTGGTTGCAAAATAAAATCATGGTTTCCTTGGAATTTTACTCTCTTCCCACTGAAGTGCAAGAAAGTGTTGCATTCGCTGTCATGAGACGAAAGTGAAGACTGGAGAGTGGCATTACAGGACAGTCTGTGTTGGGGGCTTCTACCCAACGCTTGGCAGTGGAGAGAGAAGGGGTTTTTGTTAAAGGGTCATGAAGTTCTATTCTCTTTCTTACCTACCAGATAATACAGAACAGACAAACAATGAAAAGAGTACTTAGACAAGGAAAACACAATGTCAGTGTTCACCTAAGTCCAAGGACACATAGTGTTTTTTAATACTATTAGCCCACACTGCTTACTAGTTTTTTTCTAATAAAAAAGTATGTGATCAAGCTTATTTCTATGTTCTGCATTGTGATTTTTGTTTATTTAATAACTTTCCTGATATAAGGAGATTTCTTTGCACCTCATAATTATATTGTAGTTGACTTGGAAGAAAACAATAGTTCACAGACCACCTAGTTCACTGAGAGGGCAATAATTCTTGTAAACCAGACTTCTAGGTTACCATGGCATTCTGTTTTGATCCCCATCTGAGCTTCACAATGGGGAAGTCATTGTTAAATTGTAGCACTCCACCCTCGGAAATGAGGTATCATGTGGACTTGTTTCTGAACGAGCGGTGTGATTCCAAGCTACTTACTGAGAAGATCAAACTAAGTTATGCATGGTGTGAAGATGGAGCCATATGTGGACATATTTATATCTTTATAAATATAAATATGAGACAGAAAACATATCTGACATGTAGTAGGTAATCCAAAACATGTTAGTTAAATCTTCTTTACTCAAACAGGTATGGGGATGTTAAACTGCCTTGAATAAATATTTTAAGGCCTAATGTCATTTCAAAGCATTTGAAGAATAAATATTTCACTTTTCTTTTACTTTACTAGTTTTCTTGTTAAACTGTATCTTGGCACCTCCATTGATCTTTACGAAACTAGTTTCCTGTTAACTAAGGAATGACAATGTACTCAGGTCCAGTTCCTTGGAAATACAGTTTCCTTATACTTCTCCTTTCCTTTGTTTTAATGAACTTCTTTTATCTGGCTTCCTCATTCCAAGTGCAAAGTTAATTGATGTCAGTGGGGATTAGTTATATAGCAAAATATTTTTCTTAGCCTTTTCCTTGTACTCTTTCCGATAATCCTATCTTTGTCTCAATGTCTTATTTAATCACTCAGCTGTATTGTCTTCTTTCGGTTGGAGGATGGAACGGGAGTGAAGAGAGGAGTGCGCAGGTGGCATATTCTTCATGGGATCTTCTCTCTGCTGGCATGTGGGTGGGCCTTTGAGGTCAGAGGTTCTCTCTGATTAGGGTCAGGATTGCTGGTGATAAAGAAAGATTCATTCGATTTGGAAACCAAAGCTGCAGGCAGTGGGAATGGCCTGTACCTACCAGAAAAGGGAGCCTTTTCCCCGTGGCCTCTCGTAGATGAGAAAACTCCTCAGCTCCACACAAGCCACACAGCTTACCTGCAAGCAATGCCAGAATTTTCCACAGGAAGTGGTGCTGGGTCTTTTCCAGCACACGAACAATTGCTCAACCAAATCCCCAGCATTGCATGCCATAAAGAAGGGCAGAAATTATTCTGGCCTAGCCATTTCTCAGGATAGGTATTTGCAAACACTGGCTGTGGCTTTAGAAAAGCCTAGCATGCTCATGCATCACTAATTGTGAGCTAGACATCGCCTCAGGAAACACATAAATATGAGTGAAGTACAGAAGGCTTTCCTGAGGTGCCTGAATGGGTTGACTTGTTCTGTGGGGGTATGTGGTAGACCAGTTATATCCATATAAGTCAGTGACTTTAATAACTTAGTTAATATTGAACCATTTTTTTCGAGTAGTAATTTCATACCAGGACCTATTATATGTAAAAGTTACTTTAAAAATATTAATTTATATCATCAGTAACACCAGAAAAGCAGAAAATGTTCCTTTAATATCTTTGCAAATACATGCCCACACACAACACCTGTGAGAAAGGTCGTGGGTTCCCCAGTTTTACACTGGAGAATACAGGAGCAACAAATTCAGTAATGACAAAAGCCATATGGTGAGTAAATGGAGAAATTAAATTTCAAATGCAGCTCTGCAGACCTTTAACTGAGTCTAGTTTTTATTTTTTTAGATATTAGGACCCAAGAGAAACACTAGAGAGCACTGCTAGACTTAACTGTGGAATTTGACATGTAGATCTCATCTCTGACCTGGGATCTAACATTAAAACCTGGGGGACAGTCCAGCTCAATCTTCCACCTTGAAATCCATTGTATAAATCTATTTTTTAAAGTAAAAAATATTCCCTAAGATTGGCTCTACCCAACTTTCCTCCCTCCCAGAGTATCTTTCCTCCCTCCCCCAATCCTTATCCCTGCTAATCCAGGGCTTTTACTAGACCTTGCGCTGCCTCAGCAGGAAGAGGAGAAGGAACGTGAGGAGGGGCAGTGGGGAGCAGAGGAGAAGGAGGTGGAGAGATCTTTCTTTTTCTTTTTTTAGAGCAACAAATACCTTTATTATATGAGCTAAGATCAGAGGAAGGACAATTTATTTGCCTTTCTGAGCCCTGATTGTCCTCAGATAAAACTCCAGCTCCTTGCGCTCCAGCACATAGCCATCTGCTCAGCCACATTGGCCTGGTCTTGGAGCGATGCATGCAAGAACCTTGCCCCTCTGTAACTGCTCCTCTAGAAGACTGCTGATTGTGGCATTGTTTTCCCCTTCTTCATATTTCTTTTGAACTTTCCTTTTTTTTTTTTAATCTTCACCTGAGGATATATTCATTGATCTGAAAAAAGCAATTAACTTACTGAGCTCCATCTGACCAGTCAATGAGAGCTTCAGGAGAGAATCAACCTCTGTAGTACAGTGAGGCCTTGACTTACGAGTGTCCCGACTAACGAGTTTTTCAAGATATGAGCCTTCTCTCGGCCGATTTTTTGCTTTGAGTTGCAAGCTAAAATTCGGGTTATGAGCCAGCTTCAGATACCCCACAACTAGTTGGCGCAGCGAACGTCACAGCGAACGCCACAACATCAGCCCAGCAATACGTGTCATTGTAATGGTGAAAATTGATTTGACATACGAGTAATTTGAGTTACGAGCTCCGTCATGGAACGAATTAAACTCGTAAGTCAAGGCCCCACTGTATATGTGGCTCAAGTAGCCCTGAAACAGGGACTGTTGGTAATGGAAAGTCAGAGCCAAGGTTATCCAGTCCAGGCTCTCATTTTCCAGACAAGAGAACTGCGTTGTGGGGAGAGGAGTGACTTGTCCAGGCTCACACAGCCAGTCAATAGGATGGATATTATCATTGGGTGGTGTAAAGATGTAGAGATTATAAGGCACGTTTGCAGTTTATTTTATTGTCTCTCAACAATCCTCATGAGATGTGCTTGTCAAATGTCATGTAGGAGTGAACAGTTCCTTTTTTTTCTGTTCAATGATAGAGAGAACTTAGAGATTACATAAGACAAACCAAATGGAATCTAAAACTGATTTTGGTTTCAGAATTAGTTTTCCAAATGAGGAAAATAGTTCAGAAAGAAAATGACTTGCCAAAAATATTATGGCTTAACTAATGGCTGAGCTCTGTTTAGAACCCAGGAAAATTTGTATGCTTTGTATTCAGAAAAGAAGATAGGCCATATATACTGTTGACCCACACTGGTATTAGAACTATGTTTTGGATAACATTTCATCCTGAGAGTTTTTAATAAGTTACTACTGTCGACATAAGAAACATCCAAACCTATAAAGAATTTTTACAAGTTTATTTGAGCAAAACTGACAACTGCCAGAAAGCAAAATCTCAACCGATTGAAAAATGCTCCAGAGAATGGCAGTTTTGCAGCTTATTTTATACATTACAATCAAAGGAGGAGACATAAGGGGGCTACATGAAATCCACTAGTGGAAGATTAAGGGGTGGGAGAAAGCGAAGCAGGGAAATCTCTGGGGTTGGATAAAAAGGCAAATGGAGATACATACTCCTGTTACATTGGTATGTTCGGGATAGTTTTAACATTAACTGCACATAGAGATGGCATTTGGGGAACAAGATAATGAGGGGTTCCGTGGTCTCCTGCTCTGGTGCCAGCGGTTGTGCCCTGAGGGGTCTAGAAAAGGAGGCTACTCTGATGTTTCAAAGGTATGTTACGTTAGATGCAACAACAACAACAATGGACAGCAGGTTCACTGAAGGTTAAGATTGACCTTTGTCAAGGAGGCTACAGGCCTAGGACTTGACCCACCACGACCCACTTTTGGTTAGGAACTTTGATGTGCAGACCATCCTCTGTGATTACTTTAGGTCTCTAAGTATGTAAGGCTGCCATGCAGGCCTCCTCTCAGGTTTAGTATGTGGCCCCCTTTTTGTTCACACTCTTGTGGTCTTAATGTAATTGCATTTTGAACCATGTGTAAATCTATTAATGTTCTAAATTAATGGGCTTTTGGATATTATTTAAATCATTTTGTATAAAAGGATATATAATATTCACAAGTCTGACTTGGACTAGAAGAAAGTAGTGAATTAAGAGAACTTTGTATTAGGTGCACCTTTCTGCATATGAAAGTTAAGTTAAAGATGAAAAGTCACCTTTATGGAAAGATATGACTTTAAAAAAAAAAGATGAGAGGGCAAATTACAAATAATACATTTCAAAAATTTATTTTCCAGGATCTAGTTCAGACTCAAAATTAAGAAGTCCTGAACTGAATTTAAATGGCACCCAGCATGTCATACAAGCAGGCAAGAAGCTATCTATCAAATGCAGGTAAGTGACTGCCAGTTTGGGGATACTCTGGCTGCCCTTCCTAAGGCGAAGTAGAAAAGTCCCCTCTCAGAGTAGAAAAGTAGAGACTTCAGTGGTCTCTTGTGATTTGCAAAGTGCAAACCACATGTGTCCTGCTTCACATGGAGGTAATTCCCCTCCTGAAGAGACTCACTCACTCAAAGGCAAACAGGGGAAGGGATGCCCGGAACATTTTTGCATCTTTCATCTGAGTTGTTGCAAAGCTTTTCCTTGTGCCTCGCTTTTCTGTAAAGAGAGAGATGACTACACGTAAGAAAGGACCTCAGAATAGTGCTGCCTAATGAGATGGGTGCCTCGGAGCTGGCCCCAGCCCTAATTGTGTTTTATTTTCTTATCTGTGATTGCAGGGGGAAAACAGACCACTCGTGGTCTTTGCCTGAAACAGTGAGTAAGGAAAGCAAAAGGCTGAACATAACTAAATATGCCTGTGGAAGGGACGGCAAGCAGTTCTGCAGCACTTTGACCTTGACCACAGCCGAGGCAAATGACACTGGCTTCTACAGCTGCAAGTATCTATCTTCTACTTCAAAGAACAAGCTAACAGAATCTACAATCTATATATTTATTAATGGTAAGACTTCCATTTTCTACATTTTGTTTTTTATAGCTTCTCTGAAGTCATAAACCTACCCTGTCCCATTGGAAAAGGAGCTTTCCTAGGGCGTGGGAAAGAAAAGGCCCGGGGAAGAGGTAGACATTTTTAGAATGCATTTTTTTAAAAAATATTTTTTGTTGATTTCAGAGAGGGAGAGGGAGAAAGAGATAGAAACATCAAGGATGAGAGAGAATCATTGATTGCTACCTCCTGCACGCCCCATATTGGGGATTGAGGCTGCAACCCGGGCATGTGCCCTGATTGGGAATCGAACCAGTGACCTCCTGGTTCATGGGTTAATGTTCAACCACTGAGCTACACCAGCTGGGCTAGAATGCATTTTTAATACATTTCCTGAGTGTTTATTTCAATTAGAATTTTCATGGATTGGTCGATCAATTGTATGCTCCCTGAAGGGAGAGATTCCTATTTTGTTCATAAAACAGTATCCTGACTGGCTCATAGTTGGATGAATAAATGAGAAAATTTTAGTTCCATCTCTTGATTACTGAGAAGCCCAAAATAGAATACAAAAAGTTTTTTGTCCCTTAACACAACTGCATGCTCTTACACGTTAAAATTGTAAAATGTTGTTCTTTCTACTAAATTTATAAATGTAATGTTCCTAATTGTCTCTTGAATGCTACAAAATTGGTTCCAGTTGGTGAAGTTGTATAAGTTCATATTCCTTAAGCAAGTATAATGATATAAGAGTTGGCATGTGCCATTATATAGGGAAAATAAGGGCAAAAGGTAAAAATGAGTCATTTTTCAGTTATAATTTTTACTAGGGGCCTAGTGCACAAATTCATGCACCTTGAAAGGAACTGTGGGCCGCACAGCTACGGTAGGCACAGGGGCGGATCTTGGCCCATCCTCTGTGCCCCTGCCTGGTCCCTCCCACCACGGCCCAGTCTCCTGTCTGCCAGCAGACCCCCTCCCACCACTGCCACTTCCACACACTGACGGCGCCGGCCCCGTTTGCACCTGCTGACAGCGCAGAGCAATTGGGGCTGGCACCCACAGAGGTTGTGAGCGGCAGCTACTGCCCGATCGCCCCTCAGGAGCAGGGGGAGGTGGAGAAGCCCTCAGGGATGATCAGGGCCAGCAGCTGCCACTCACACCTGCTGATGGCGCTGAGTGATTGGGACCAGTGTCGGGCACTGACAGTGGGTGCAAGCAGTGGCTCCAGCGCCGGCTGTAGGTTCAAGCACCAGGCAGGACCACAAGGCATGGGAGCAAAGAATTTTTAGTAACCACCAGAGACTCACCCTGATGACAGCGACTGACGCCCCTGCCTTGGTCTGGTGCCCCCACTCACCTGCTCCACCATCCGACCGCGGCCAAAGCCCGCCATGTTCCACACACACCCCCTCGTGGTCAGCGCACATCATAGCGACCGGTTGTTTGGTTGTTCGGTTCCAGTTGTTGGCCGTTTGGTCTATTTGCATATTAGCCTTTTATTATATCGGATGGTACTATTTTTCCTTAGAGAATAAAAAAAGTAATATTCAGAGGGAAGAAGTGCAAAATCCTTAAAGAAGTAAAAATTGATGGTAGAAATGGATCCCTGAAGAAGAATAAGGAAGAGGGCCTGTTAATTTGTTCTTCCTTGGCAGGGACTTTTTTTTTTAAATGAGGCCCTAGAGAACATAAAGCAAAATTAGTAGGCACCTTAGGCACAAAAGCAAATTAAAAAGCATAGCAAAACAACCAACCATACATTTCAGTAGCCTACATACACATCATGTATTATGGGATGAGTGAAAGAACTGGATTCTTGCATTGGAGGCAGTACATAGAATTGCATTTTGGTGGGAATCTTTTTGAATTTTTGAAATAAGGCAATTAGACAATGTTTTACTGGAGCATGATATGTAATTAGCAGATTCATAGGAGACAGTAGAACAATTGTGTGATATTGGAAGTAATATCTTTTTTTTTTAATCCTCACCCAAGGTTATTTTTTTCTGTTGATCTTTAGAGCGAGAATGGAAGGGAGGGGGGAAGAGAGAAAGATTTAGAGAGAGAGAAACATCGATGTGAGAGAGACACATTGAGACACATCAACTGGTTGCCTCCTGCATGTGCCCCGATTTTGATGAACCTGCAACCGAGTTATGTGTTCTTGACCAGGAATCAAACCTGGGACCTAGGAATGCAATCACCCCACTTACAAATATGAGGAAGTAGGCAGGGATCTTTGCCAAGGGAAGTGAGCCTCTGCTACAGGTGGGAAGGGCAATGTCAGGCAGGAAGCCAGGTAGGGCGGAGAAGGTACAGAATTAAGGAGAGACTTTCAGAGATGTACTTTTGCAGCTCATGGAGAAAGCAGACACAGGTTTGACAGCGGTGGGAAAGGGTATATATGCAGACATCTGTCTCTTTCTCTAGTTCCACACAGTAGGTTATGTGTTTTCTGGCACTTGTAAAGGAAAAAAAAAAACACAAAACACTTTATCCCTGTCTTTCTAGGGGAGTGGGGTAAAATTCATTAATACTAAAATCCTCATAAATGACTTACTATAGGTTTATCATAATATGACCTGCAAATCAAATACTTAAATAACGTTCAACTCTTTTCATCTTTAATTCCTATACTGTTCAACAGACCTCGTGGGTTTATGGAGCCAGTAGGTAAGGTCGTACAGAACGCATCTTTTTCAGTCCCTTTAGGTAAAATTCATAAATACTAAAATTCTCATAAATGACTTCCTATAGGTTTATCATAATATGACCTGCAAATCAAATACTTAAATAAGTAAAAGACAACCATCTCTCTTTCAATCTCTCCAAAAAATAACGTTCAACTCTTTTCATCTTTAATTTCTATACTGTTCAACAGACCTCATGGGTTTATGGAGCCAGTACGTAAGGTCGTACAGAACCCATCTTCTACAGTCCCTTTGATAGTAGGGGAGAAACTTAGCTATTTAGAATTATTTCCATTTAAACTATACAGCAAAGCAGATCTGGCCGGAAATCATTACTTTGGGTGTCAAATCAATTGGTAACCTCAGCCCCATGAGGGCAAGGTCCATGCCTGTTTAAATGCCTTTAATCTGCAATGTGCCTCCCTGGTACAGTGCCTGCATATGGTAAGAATTCAGTAATATTTGTTCAGTGAATATAGGAAGGGATTAACAGACTGTGTAGAATAAATACTCTGTTGAAATTGACATTGAGTATAAATTCCAGGCTAAGTACCAAGAGTGCCATGACTAATGATAGATGTCTGTTATTAGTTTGGGAGGGAGAGTAATGGCCATTGTGTCTCGTATTTATCATCCCTACTGTTCTGCATAGTCCAGAAACATTAGCATAAAGTTACAAGTCCCAATATCTCAAAACTCCTGCACAGTCTGGTTAGACACCAGGAAATGGTCTATTTCAAAGGCTGTGTTCTTGGAGAAGGATTGTGAAATGCACTAGTTGTATTTCATAGGACATTAGTATAGGAATATCTCAAAACTCCTGCACAGTCTGGTTAGACACCAGAAAATGGTCTATTTCAAAGGCTGTGTTCTTGGAGAAGGGTTGTGAAATGCACTGGTTGTATTTCATAGGGCATTAGTATAGGACAGTGGTCGGCAAACTGCGGCTCGTGAGCCACATGCGGCTCTTTGGCGATCCCTCAGGGGATGTCCGACTGATGGCTTAGGCCAGTGGTCGGAAAACTCATTAGTCAACAGAGCCAAATATCAACAGTACTTCTTCAAAATAGACTCACCTAGGCCGAAAACCGACTTCTGCGCATGGGCCATTTAGTTAATTGCACTGTACGTGCGCACCCGCACGTGGTATTTTGTGGAAGAGCCACACTCAAGGGGCCAAAGAGCTGCATGTGGCTCGCGAGCCGCAGTTTGCCCACCACTGGATAGGACATATAAAGTACTCTATTATATAAGTTCATTGGAAAAATTATAAGACCTATTCTTTTCAATAGCACTAATACTAAAAGATCTTAAATTAATAATAGTAGCCATAGAGGAGCACCATAGACACATCTTTTGAAAAGGTATAGATTTGTAGTCTGATAGGGTTCTAAGAAAAAGAATCAGGGCTGCATAGCTTTATCTACAGTGTAGGGATGATGAACACACTATTAGACGCTAGTGGTTGCCTGCTGTGTAATAGGCACAGCTCCCACGTGAGCACTTATGTGAACATTCCTCTAGTATGGAGTGTACAGGAAAGTCAGGATCACCACTTTATCATCACTGCTCGTATAAACCCGCAAAACCTCTGACAATTCATTAACTCAATTTAGTCAACCAAGTAATTATATTTAACTACTTTATTACTGAATTGTCTGATAAATTAAAATTCCTTTAATAAATTCTTTTATTAATAAACATAAATAAACATTTATAGTTTCTTCTCATTTAAACAAATGGTTTTATTTACATCATGCTAGTTAAATCTCACAATCATCCATGAAGTCTTCTCTTCATCTTAGTGTGAAAGACCTGAGGCCCCTGCACACCCAGCTACGTGGGCAGTGAGGGCAAGTGTTGGCAGCACAGTGAGGTGGCTGGTTTTCTTCCTCAGTCTCAGTGGTGGGAGGAGAAAGTGGCTCCAGCCAAGCCTTTTCTAAAGGTTAGAAGATTTCATTGAAATTATTATTGTACCATATGAGTTGTGACTGTAAAGTAAGAAAACTGACCAGAAAGTTTTTAATGGCATCTCCAAAGTTTGTAATACTTTGTCAGTGTCTCCAATTTAGTTAGGAAGACCTCGAACTTGACGTGTGGAGTTCCCCACACATGAAGTCAGCCTGTACCTCTCCAAGCCCAAGACTTTCAGGGCTATTTAAGTGTAATGTCTTCTCTGGAAAATTATAATTGAAAGGAGGAATATTGGGGGGAGTGCTATGGTTGAGTGGTTGCATTCTAGCTCTTCCCTGTTAATGAAACTCATCTCTTTTCTTTTGCTGCTCTTCACTTGATTGCTTTTCTCTCTGCGTCTATTTAAGC